ATGTGTTCTTTTATTATTAGGACATGTCCTGCCTGATCTGAGCAGCACAAGCTTTAAAATCAAGCATCACTGGACAAAGGAAAGGATGTCTTTTTCCTAGGTAATACAATTCTCCTATAGTAACTAGATTGTAAACATGATCAAATATAGCAACGCACATGTCTAGACAAGCGTTAGTATCTCTATACTGTATGTACGTGATTATGGATCTTTTGAGTTCTGCTTCAGGTCTGCTGGCAGGAGCAAGCCACCAACAGTGTGACGATGTGCCCTGCTGATACAGCAATTCATAAACACTACGAGGCAGGCGCAGCGATGACAGAATCTATTCTACTTGGTCGTTTAGGCTATGCTAGCCAGCTTTCAGGAGATGAATAAATAAATAAACATGAGGTAGGCTTAAAGGGCCAGCAGAAATGATACCAGCTTCATGGCAAACTCTGACCCAAATTTGATGTCTGGTTAGATTACAGGGTCTCTGGTGAGTACTGTTTAGCTGCAGGCACAAAGTGCATAATTGCACATACACATTCTAGTAAAAGCTGACCTCTACTGATGGCTCAAGCAGAGGTTTTGCTCATACCTGGCAATGTAACCACCTGGCCCCTGGAGAGAGAAAACATCTTCATTTTACATAGTGTTTGATTTAATTTGATATATTTTTTTTTTACTTTGTATATAATTTTTTCTTTTTGATCGTAATGTTTGTACTTTTGTATATTAAATTCACTTATCATTTACCATCCACTGAATTTTTATTTTTTTTTTTTTATTTATTTTTTTTTTAATTTTATTTTGCTTACAATTTCCATGTGACTATAAGTCATTTATCTTACATGATATTGTAACAGGATTTGTTGAAGCAGTCGTTGGCCCTTCACAGTGTAGAAATCTTTACACAGTACACAAAAGCACCGCATGTCTGGAAGATGTGCTAAATGTTGTACTAAGAAACAGAAGAGATATTGTTTTGTTACGTGGTCTCAGACAGCTGGAGAGTTACAGCGGCCTTCAAAAAAGGGGGAATTTTGTTCTGCAGTTTCTTTCAAACAGAACACATCTTTGGAAAATCAAAGTCTCTTCAAACAATACAACATTTGTGATATCTTTTCTGAACCATGAGGGATGCAGTGAAACAAACATGTATAGAAAAATCAAACCTACAGATACTGCAAAAGTATTTGTTTTGATTAAGATTAATGGAGACAACGTGAAGCTTTGTCTGTTCAATCTGTTACTGAAGCAGCCAGCCTTATTAATTCTATTAAATCTAATGTGTAAGTAATGTTATCATTAAAGTTTCATTAAAAAAAAGTTGCAATAATGAATAAACAAGGCTACTGTTGCAAATACTTATGTTAAACATCAGTTAATTACAAGTCTTTAGATATTAATGAATAATAATCAACAATTAACATAAGTTTAATTTCAGTTTATTATATACATCAGTCAAAAATTGTCGATTGCTTTGATTGTAAGTTAAACGCTTCACAGTATCAGAGTGTAAAACCCAGCAAGCACTACACACTTGGTGACAGCACTGCTGCAACTGGTTGTAATTTGAAAATTCAGCCAGAACCTGATGTAAGTGCTGCCAAAACAAAACTTGTGATCTTCTCATCAAAGCCTCTGAATCTTTCATCTGTGACTACTTATCAGGACTCTGTGATCCAGTCTGCAATTTCAAATAAAGTCTTGCTTATCTTTGAAGGCCAAAACGCGACTGCTGCCACTTTTGTGTCTGTGACATTATGTACATGTACATGCATGCATCCTTGCAATGCTTTAATGCATCAGGTGCAGTATACCATGGGGCATGGAATTAATTAAAAACTAAACCTCTGACTTAGGTTTCACTATTGCCTGCCTCATCAGTCATTAACGTGTTTGTGTTTATAAGACATGGCTCTAGCATATTTACAACTATATGGCCTTCAGAAATTTATGGTAGTGATTTTTTTTTTCTTACAGTACTCTTACCCACAATCTGTTTCCAGAGCTCCTGCATAGTATGCTGCTTCTTTTCTCTGAAATCAGTCTGGGTCTGACTAAACTGAGTAAAGAAATTCAATATGCAATCAGTAGATACATATATGTATATATACAGTGGACTTATGAAATTAATTTGTTCCAGAGGGTCTTTCGTAAGTCAAAATTTTCGTAAGTCGAAGCACCTTTTTCCATCGCCTTTTGAGTGAGGAGATGCTGGCTGAAGACGAAGTTCTTGGTGGAGGCTGAAGGAAGCATATCTATGCATACATACGTACGTGTACATGTACATAACATTATGGAATTTAATTCTAAAACTAAAACTTACATTTACGTTAATTAATGTACGTACGTACACTGTGCAATGATATTTTTTTAACATTTTTTTAAACTCGCTCATATTTATGCCTTATGCCGGCCCCATTATGAATGAACGATAGGCTAATTGCAAACGAAAAGCACGCGGAATAGCGCACTGCAACAACAATACGTCTTTCACGTGGAACAGAGAAACGCATTTCGCAAACGGATTTTGTTACATGGGCATTTTGTCGTACCACGGGCAAAAATATTGTCGTTAAGTGCCTTCGTAAATTGAATTTTTCGTTAAATGGGGTCTTCGTAAGCCGGACCCCATAAAACAATAAAGTACTATAAAGGAAAGCGCTGTTTTTGAAACTTTCAAATAGTGGAGATGATTATAAAGACATCCAGACAAACACAAGTCCATTTTTGTGCCTTCTGTGATCAAAAATGTTTACATTGGTGAGATATTTTTTACTGATTTTGATATTAAGTATATGAACTATAATATGAGGTCCACACCCCTTTATTAGCCAGAACGTTGACTTCTCTGGGCATCTTATTGATAAAAATGAACATCTACAAAGCAAATTTGTGTGCTTTACATATAAACTAGTACCTTTTAGTACCTGGATTCACAATTTAACCCCTTGTTTTGTCCTGAATCTGAATAAAGTAGTTCTGGTTTCAATTTATGTGACTAGAGATTTTATTTTGTTTTAGCAAGTCAAATATTGGTGAAGCAGTAATGTCGACATTTCATCACAGGCAGAGCAGATGGTAAAACTGAGCCAGACAGTCGGCTGCTACACAACATGAGCCACAGACCGAACAACAACCCACACTGGCTTTCTTGTTGAAGTATCTAGCTTATCTAACTTTGAATATGAACATGCATCTTCTGCACCTTGCCTTGATTGAGCCAGAGAGCAAACATTCAGGAGAAACAGCTCTTGCCTCCCCAAATAAAATGCAAACAGCATCTAAATAAACCTGAAAATGTTAGTTCAGCATGGTTAGATATTGCTGTCCTCAATCTTCAGTTCCACTAAAGGCACACTGTCTGCTTTGCTTAGCTAAAGTACACACTTATTTGTTGTGTATCTTATTCATTAAATTTGCAAGAATAACAGCAGTAGTATGATTCTTCAGCATCTGCTGTGATTCAGGCATTGACAAGAACAGATTTGTCCAGTAATCTACAGTCATTTAGAACAGGCACTTTTCATATTTGTCTCATTTCTTGCAGCAGGACTAACAGCCACAAACAGTGCTTCTTGCTGTGAGCACTGTAACCCCCCAGTAAGAAGGTTCTGATTCATAGTTCCAGGTTCGCTGGAGCCTTTCTCTGTGGAGTATGCATGATATGATCTGCCTGCACTGGTTTCTTCCAGGTACTCCATCTTCATTCCACAATTCATGTGTAACCTGACATGTTAGGTTAGGCCCAATGAATCTAAATTGGATAAGTGGTTAAAAATAAAACAACATCATCTCGGCATTATTTTTGCCTGCTGGAATGTCCATACTAGTTGCCGAATAATTTGATTTTCTAAAAAGTGATTTTAAAAAGTGCTCAAAAATACACAATAACAGCACAAGAAAACAGTTAAGAGGTCCAGGTCAGTGACTTGAATGGGTAGAGATGAGGCCTAGCAGACTGTGACAGTTGGTTGTGTCTGCACTGCTGTAAATCAGGGCAACTTTAAGCCTTTATAAAAAAATCTAAGAGGATTAATCATAAAAAGGCTGTAAAAACCAGGATGTAAATTTGTCAATTTCTTCTCTGAGGTTGGGTTTTAATTGTAATCTATGGGGCCTCTCGTGGCTTTTCGTGGAAGTTTTTTTTTTTTGCACTTTTGCGAAGGCTTTGTTTTTCAGCACTACATTTTGAGTTCTCATTAGTAACTATTTCTGAATTGTTTGACCTGAATGTATTTTACCTAAAACAATTTTTGACAATTTAAATGGGGATTTGGGAGAAACAGGACAGTCAAAGAGAAAAACAAAGGAACCCAGCACACTGTTGCTAAAGGAAAAGGAAAATCATTTCAGATGTATTCAATCCTCCACATCTGTATAACTCACATGTGGAAGACTGCACTTATAACAAGCAGTCACAGCCAGATGTGTCTGATTGAAACAACTGCTGGTGCTCCTATGGACAAAGCAGCAAAGGTAGCTGCCACACTGTCACCACGACTGGATGCACAAACAGAATGATCTTAAATGATCTGTTCAAACCTGTGTGTCTCTTGTTCAGGTGTCTTATGCTGTCATCCTTTCCATCAGTCACTCTGACCCTTCTCCTGTAGTCTGGCCCTGCTGAATAGTTGAAAAATACAAGATATTTCCACATTTCATTTCTGAGATTCAGTGTAGTTTTTTATTTTTTTTAATCAGTGCATTTATCCACATACTGTGTCAGATCTTTAGCCTGGCTGATACTGATTTTTTGGGGCCATTAACAAAAACAGGGAGACATGGCAATAACATAATGTCCAAGATTATTTATTGATACATATTCATAAATAAGTTTTAAGATGCAACATGTTCGACTCAAAAGGTAAAACAATGAGATCATTTTTTATTAACTTACCAGCAGTGCACTCCACTATGTCGCGTACCATGAAGACACTGCTTGACTGCACCACAATCTGCTTGGCCTTGACACGTACTCTGTTACATGTGTTGACAGTATTGTAAATAATGGAGTCAGAGCTGCTGCACTGGACAAATTATGTGATAACATCAGTTCTAAATTACACTGGCCCTTATTTTCTGCACAAATTTGTTAAAAAGAAAAAAAGAAAAAAAAGCAATTCGTTTCCTATTGGGTAACACATATATTGGATATATATCTGTCATATCTGCCAATATTGACTAAATTATATATCGGTTAAAATCGAGTGAAATCAGAATCAAGTATTTAAGCATGTAGCATGACATTACCAGTATCCCGGGGATTTGCTAGATAGCTGCCTGCTGGTTTTGACCTATTCACCATTTCACTTAGTCAGCCTGGCTGTTAGTGAAGGAGGGGAGTGTATGTGATGGCAAGTCTTCCCTCTTTGTACAAAGCAAAATCAAGACTGGTAACAAACTGGCTTAGCATGTAGCTGCAGTGAGAAGTCAAGGTGCAATCAGAAATTTGAGGAAGTAAATCAATGGATCACTCAGATGGTGTGCATTTTATACCAACAGTGGCAGAGCGGCAAAAAATCCCATACAGTAACAACAAATGCACTAATGCACTCTTGTAGTCTTCAGAAGATAGCTTAAGAGATTTCTTTATTTGATCTTTTCAGATGTGTTCAAAGCAGAGAAGTGAACACTTGTTCTTTTAGAAAAGGACAGAGGTTGGTGTAACATAGAAATCTCGCAGAGTGTTGTTCATTTTACAAACAAAATATTGTTATCCTTTACACGTGTGATTATGAGGCACCACACAATAATACTGTATCATCTTAATTATTTACACTTGAACAAAGCATCTGCCCTTCTGGCTACAAATGCTTGAGTGTTCTTACTAAATATGGGTGTGAGCAGCACACACTGAAACAGCAATAAGGTGTTTGGTTTTAACTGTGGCTATAAGGGAGAGAAGTTGAATGACAAAAATAAGAAGCAGAAGAATAGATACACATTTGACCAGAAAGAATCAGGCCATTTGGAAAAGTAGGCTTACACGCAAACATTCAGACATGCACACACATTCACTAACAGGCAGGTGGGATAAGATGCGGTAAACCCCCCAGACTGCACACACAGACACACACACGCACACACACATACACACACACAAATATGCACAAACAGTGAATGCCTCAGTAGATGCCCATCTGCTTCAGTACTACCTCAGTATTCCATCAGCTTTCCTCGGCAGTGTGAGGAAGGTGAACATGCCTGTCTGTGATACCACTGTACTGCACGTGTCGTCCAATCAAAGTCCACCATAACATGACAAAAGTTTCCACTGCAGCACACAGTTTAGGCATTTTTAAGTTCACACAAAACACTGAGGCAGAAATATGAATTTGTTGTTTTTCAAGATGTCTTTTTTTTTTTTTTGTTTTCTTTTGTTAGTTTTTTGTGTGAAACACTTTTGCTACTTTAACAGTAAGCAAAGAGCCCCTTCGTCCCATTGGTCCTCCTGTCGAGAGTTTGACATAGGAAGTTAAAGAAAAACAGATTTATAGATAGAGAGAAAAGATACATACTATTATCTAAAGTCACAAACAACAGTTGTGAGGAGATTGTCATGGCTTTCGCATTATATTCAGTGAATGAGGTCACATTGTAAATTGGCTCTGTCTCTGTAAACCCTTTGCCTCCTGGGAAGTTCATGAAGTGCAGCCACTGTGGCAGGCATGCATCAGTACCTGTTAGGAAACCATTTATGTTATTTAGGTGAAGAGAAAAGCAGTATAGGGTGAACCAAAGCCCACATCAGGGAAACACAGCCTAAAAGCCATCAAATAAGCCTCCTATGTGAATATTATCAGAGAACCTGTAGTTTAAGCCCCTTCTTTGTGCATTTTGTTAGGTCTTTTAATCACGCCTTCATTTCTAATGCAGTCCCTGAAAGTACAGATGTGAAAACACCCGAGGCCAGCACATTATCAAACGGTTCAGAACAGCATAGCTTATTGTCTGCAAAGTAAAAGGTCTTACACACCCAGCCGTGCTGTATCCTTCAAAAAGAGCGTTTCCATGACTTACAAAGGATTTTCTGGAAGGCTCTGCGGAAGTCCTGGTTGAAGATAGTGTAGATTACTGGGTTTAGTGAGCTGTTGCAGTAGCCGATCCAAAAAAAGAACTTGAAAAGTGTTAGAGGGATCTGGCATGGTTCACGGCAGATTCCATACAGACTGTAGGAGAAGAAGAATGGGAACCAGCAGACAACAAATACGCCCATGACCACAGCAAGGACGAAGGTGAAGCGTTTCTCCCGAGCAGCTGAGACTTTCTTCCGATTGACAGTGCTCCGACGTTTGCGACGAGATGAAAATAAGTCTATGGATTTGGAACTGGCACGCGACTTCCTGCTGGAGTATTTAGAGGCGGAGCTGCTCTTTCGGCTAGCCTTCCTGTCTTTTCTGTCTTCATGATGATGTTTTGAGGAGCAAGAACTTTTTTTAAGTTTCTCGTCTGACGAGCTACTATCTTCAAAGTCGTCATCGTTGTCTGTTGGATGTTTTGGCTCGTTTGGTAGGGGTGTTCGAACCGCTTGCTCATGGCAATGCCCATTCTGGCGTTCCTGATTTTTCATGCTCCCGCCCCTGTTGGACTTTAAAGACCCACCTATGCCCGGTTCAGCTTGGTCCATCCCATTCTCCAGCGGTGAATCCACATCCCTTTTCTTCTCTGACAATGTTCTGGTCCTGGTTTTTGCCACTTGGTAGATCCGAATATAGACCAGGATCATAATAACACAGGGAGCAAAGAATGATCCTATGCTGGAGTAGAGGATGTACCAGGTCTCATCATTCAGCATACACTGGGGACTGGCCTCGCTGCTGCTTCTGTCCATTGATATCAGTGGAGGGAAGGATATTATGGCTGAGATCAACCAGACCACAACAATCATGCCTTTAACTCGTTTAGGTGTTCTCTTTAAGTTGTACTCTACAGCCTGTGTCACAGACCAGTACCTGTCCAAACTAATAGCGCACAGGTGAACAATAGAAGAGGTGCAGAACAAAACATCCAGAGCTAGATAGATGTCACACCAAATTTTGCCAAAAAACCAGAAACCCATAAGTTCATTTGCCAGTGAAAAGGGCATGACCAGAGTGGCTACCAGTATGTCCGCACTGGCCAAGGAGACGAGAAAGAGGTTCTGGGGTGGTTTTAGAGCTCTGCTCGTTAAAACGGCGATAACAACCAAAACGTTCCCGACTATTGTAAACAAAATCAGGAAGCTGACAAGTCCAGCAAGACACCAGATAGCAAGCAGGGTATACTGGCTCTCAGAGGTTGAATTAGAGGAGATATTTTCTGCCTCTACCCTGTCGTCCAGGCTGGAGATATTAAAGAAATCCATTTTTAAGTCCAGTTTTGATTTTTACAAAAAAATTAATGTGCGGAAATAATCCGAAAAAAGAAATATCCAATTAAGACTTGAGCGCACTTTTCACAATAAAAAATATACATGAAATTGCATTTTTCTTCTCTCCGCAATGTTCCACATCCTCCATATAAGTCTCTCTTATGCATATGAAAACAGAGAGAAAAGGGGAGGAGGAGAAAGAGCATGAGATATACAAGTCTTTTAAGTCCTTATTCCAAGAGCGCACGCTGCTCAGCAGCAAAATTTCCATGGTTAGAAAGCGGACTCCTTCCTCACCGTGTCCTCTCCCACCCCGACTGCGCCCGCATCTCTCCACCTCCGCCTCCCCGCTGTGTCCTGAGAGAGGTTTGTAAGAACCACGTGTCTTTTTTTTTCTTTTTTCTTTTTTTCAGAAAGAACTAGCAGGGACGTGCTCCGCCCCGGAGAAGAGATGGGAGCGATTATTGGAGGAGAGGAAGCAAATAAGCAAGCAAACATTTTTTAAATTTTTTTTTTTACAAGTTATACGGGAATAGTCGGTAAGATCAGTGTTGGCTACTGCTGGGGGAGCTCTTGCTTAATGTGAGTCCAGTTTCGCTGCATTGTCGGTGTAAAGTGGCTGACAGTAACAAATTGGACAGTCGATCAGACAATCTCTTTTCTTATTTGACTCTTGAAGATCTATTTTAGAGTGCGCTCACGCCGACCGCCTGTGTGCAGGAGCTGCTCGTTGGAGGTCACATTGCTGTCAAACTGACAGCGGCGAAGTCCCGCACCAAGCAAGGCACGCTCTGCTTTGTCCTTCTGTGCACACACTGGAGGTCAGTATTGTAACAGTCAGCTCCGGAGGGACAAATTGGCCAACACATACGATTCATACAAACATTAGCGATAGTTTTCTTAAACAAACTGAATATAAATGTTGTTATTATTATTATTATTATTATTATTATTATTATTATTATTATTATTATTAAGCTATGTGGCCCATCATTTAACTTTCGCCCTGGTTTATGAATATAAGAAGAACACGTGTAAACACATAATGGAAATAATGTCCCCTCTTTTTTGCACTCTACTGCCGTTATATTTCATGTGTTTGCATGGTGGTAATCAAAAGGATTACAGGATTACATGACGCAGTTGTGTGTTCTGATGGAAAGTGAGACGCACGCGCCTTTAGGGGATTCCAAAGGCGCAAAATCTTCGGCGTAGAAAGCCCTGTAAATACATAAGCTAGAGAACAAAATAGGGCGTGCATGAAATATGATTAATGAGGAGACATCTTAAAGTCACGAGTTCATCCCCTTACCTTGGATGCATTAGCCTAATGGGCGGAATATGTCTCTAGCATGACATCCAGGTTATCCTGGCTTTATGTTTTTTTATCCATTCTCTCCTTGGGACACGTGCATGCAAACTTTAGCCACAAGGGACACTTACTTCTATTTCTTTTTCTCTCCTTATCTCTGTATCTTTTTCTCTTGCACACATGGTGCAGCAGCACAGTCCAGGTTCTTTAAATTAAATCCAAGTTCACTTTGGTAGGTCAATCCCCAAAAAAGCCTGTGATAAGTTTTTGGACTTCCTTTGTGGACTTCCTCTGCTCCTGTTATCCCTATCCACTCTGGGTGGCTTTGCCTCCTGGAGAAACCCTTTCTTGCCTTTGGCATATAGCTGGGTATTAAGTTCCTTGGCCAGTGCGTTTATTGACCGTGTCTACCGGCTAAGTACCTGCCATTAATCAGTAGAGCACGCAGCCATGCTGAATTAAAGAGCAGCCACAGCCGCAAGAAATGCTTAAGTCCAAATTGATCTGCATCAAGACTATGAGGTGGAATGAGGAGGGCTCAGGAGCTCATGGTCCATCTGCCTGTGTGGAATCACAGTCACTAACCTTCCCCCTGCACCCATCCAAAAAACAGAGTGTTCCTTCTCATGCCGCCTTTTTAAATTCAACCTAGGCTAGAGTGATGCTGTAGGTCAGTGTAGATGCACTCTAAGCTGATTTTGAACAAACAGTCAAGTCTTATTATGGTCATTAAGTTGTGTCCTGGGGCCACAGCTCATCTATATATAACTGGGGCATCGGTGAGGGATCTCAGCTATTACCAAGCCTTTTCTTGTTTTCAATGTTGAGTCTTCCTCAGAGGGAATAAGTTGGCACTTTCTGCAACTAGCCAGGAGACAGCTTTGAGCTGTCAAAGAAACTTAGCTGATTATTTTTATCTCTTTAAACCAAGGATACGTACTTGTGTGCTTCGAATTACTGTGCTTTTTGTTCTGTTTCATTCTTTTTTATTCCAGTATAATCATAAACTACAGCTCTGTTCTTTTTTTTTTTTTTTGTGATACAGAGTCGCTCCTGGACGAGAAATCTGCATTTTTATTTAAATGCTACAAGGCAGCATTTGTGGAACTGAAAGCAGAGACAGTACCCAGAGCTTTACAGCAGAGAAAAGTATAATGAGCCTCTCAGACTTTCAAAAATATAATAACACCTGATATGCTCTCACAAGGTTACATGACAAGCCCTTTGTGACCCATTAAAGTGACTGCTCGAGTCACTGGCCTTTATCACACAATCAGAGCCTCATTATAGCCAGAAGACATTATTCCAAAGATGGCCACGTCCTGCTTATGATCTCTGATCATCTCCCTGCAAGTATAAATGTTCAGCAAGCACATCAGTGTTTAAACCAAATATCCAAATACTAAATACTCTAGTAAGGCACGTGTTTGCAAATCGTAATTCCCCAAAGAAATCAAAGCTGTTACCAGTAACCTCTAATTTCCACCCTCTCTAATGTGAGGTGGTTTCCATATTGGCTCCTCTGTAAACTGAGGTACCAGCTGATGACAGTGACAAATGGCAGTGTAACTCGGGCAGATGACTATAGAGCCTAGAACAAATAGTTCAACAGAGAAACATTCAGCCTAGGGGAGTTTCTCTTCTGCTAGCATCACCGCACAAAGCAGGGTCTGCTTCTTATCTACCACCTTGCCTTTGACAAATTACCCATTAGGAATTTAGATTGATCTGAAATTGATTTTTTTTTTCACATGGAAGGAGTTTTTTTTGGGTAGACCTGCATAATAAAAAAAGTAAAGTTGTCAGTGTTTCTAAGCTCACATATCTCCTTCGGAAAAATTGCATATGTGGCCAAATGATCCCAACCGCTCAGTTACTCTCTTCATCATTTGTGGCAGTTTCTGTGGGATTGTCAGAGCTACTGGAGCTCACAGAGATTTTTAGAAAAACACATTTTCATTGTATGAACCATATCTTAAACTGGTGTCTTTTTCAAATTTTGCTTCCCCTAAAGATTGTCAGCAAATCCAAGATGAAGTAGTTGTCACTGTGAAGCCTGTGGCTGGATGTCAAGCAGGATGCATTTTAAAAAGAGCAGGTAAGAGATTTGTTAGCTTCTCTCTTGTAACTCTGGGGAATTAAGAAAAAAGAAAGAAATTCAGGGATGCGTTTTGACTCTGTGCAAACTGCCCTCTGTGTGAGCTGTCAAATCAGTAGATTTGCACAATAATATGCACAGTCTAGTTAACAGCTAAGTCTTTTGATTATGAAATTTAAAATCTCTGAATGCTTTATTATTCCCCAGTTTCAGAAAAATCTTATTATATTTCCATCTCTGAAACAAATATTTCTCTTTTCATTCACATTTTTGTGCTTAATCAGTTGTTGTCCATATAGAACTCCTCTGTTACAGCTTGAATGAAGCAGCATAAGGAGTATTGGGTGTGAAGAGACATTGTGCAAAGAACTTAATGAATAGTTTGGCGTGCAGCCTTAAAAATGTGGCTGACATTCAGCTCAAAAATAATCATGTAGTCAGTAAATAAAAACTAATGAAACCTGTGTAGACTATGAGTGTATAAAGTATTTGGCATTTTAAAATTCAGTTTAAGCTGAAGGATATGTAGACATTTAGCAGCACAGATTGGATGTTATAAGAGGACAGATGTGTTGCACTTTTATCGGTGCTACGGCATTATCTGGCATTGAGGATTTTATAGAGTAAGGACCGTCTGAAGAGAAGTAAAATATCAGGCAAAAGCATGTATTGTGAAAATAACTGTAAGCCCCTTTCAAACACTGCAGGTTGTCAGCGTAAGGGACTCTTGTTCAAAAACCCACAGCTTTGAATTGAAAAGGACAAAATGTCGGGGGTGTTTGTCTTTGTGTGTTCCTGCCGAGTAGAAAGTGCATTACTCCATCGCTCTTTTGGGAAAAGGTTTGTGTGCTGTCACTAAGGCAAATGGCTTTCTTCCTATTACACAATGCAAAATCAGCAGTAAAGATATTAACTCTGTATTTAGCATCAAGAGATGTATCTTTTTCCTTTTCTGTTAAGCTTTTGGGTTCATAGGCATTACAAAGAGTCAGCTGAGAGATTGAAAAGCCAAACGTTATACGGATATTGTGACACTGTAAAACAATTTATATTTTTTCTCTCATGTTTGGATTTCATTGTCAGATCGTGCTAATATTAAAGTTGACCTTCAGCTATATATAAGTTACTAGGCAGAAAAGAAAGACTTCATCATTTCATACTCATACAAGACTCAAGGTCTTTTTTCGTGTCGCTTTTGTCATCTTTTATTAACGGCCTGTGTCTTTTCCAAAGAAGTCTCCAAAACTCCAGTTATAATTACCAGATATGACTACAACACAAATCAAATAGCTTTTCCAAAACTGATTCTCCACAATGGACACTATAATAGTATTTCAACCTCATAAAGCATTTGGATATTTGCTGTGGCACAACAGACTGTTGCACTGCAGATAAGATTACTCAACTGTCCCGAGAAAGGTTGACTGTCCAATTGTAAGATGAGTGGCTATGTAGTGTCTGGCCTAGCAAAGTCATTACTGTCCATCTGAGGGACAGTTGGGCCAAACTTGCTGATCCGCAGGCAAGTCGAGAATTATGCACAGCCTGAATGTGTTAGAAACGTGACACCCAGACATAGACGAGCACCAGTTGACTAGGAGTTGCATCATGATCTGTACACCAGATTGACTTGATGTTGGTGAAAAATGACCATCTGTGAAGTGTCACTGGCAAAGAGATCACAGATTGGCCCAGAAATGTTAAAAGAATTCATGTAGAAATCAAATTTTAGGCTGGAGAAAGGGGGGAGTAAAGGGTAATCGGCTAATAATACACTAACATGTAGCTGATGGATTTCGAGTAAATTATTCATTGAGTCAGTGGTTACTGATTGGAGAAGTAACATATTCTAATGCAAATATAAATATCACCTTCAGGGCCCTCTCGATACCAGTGCAAAAGTTTCCAGTCCCAAATGTG